AGTGTAAAAAAATAAATACCAGTATTGATAACTACATGTATTTGAAGTACAACTATTGAAACTGCAGCAGAATATCTTGTGTTTCATTGATGTAATAAATAATAATGGTAATACATCTCCCATTAGTTTTCTGGAAGTAGTTAAGGCTTTATTGTGCTGACAAAAAGCATTTGATCATGGTGCCATATAGGTACTAAATACGGTTTGAATAATTAATTATAATATATTCAATAAACATGTAGCAAATGTAGCATTAAACAAAGTTACAGGTGCTTAAAAAACATTGTAGCCTACAATAAAATACATCATGATGTCCTCATAATGGTACAACGTGACGGTCATCCGCACAATACAAGAATGTATGTGGAAAGAAAACGAGAGTGAGAGAGATTGTTCTCCACCATATGCTTTGCCACAAAGTCTTATTCCGCAGACTAGTACAGTCAGGCCCAGAGCATAAAGTCATCTGCGCAATCCTCAGGATCACAAGCCGGTCACATGCTGCCGGAGCCGGGCACGGGGTGCAGCTTATCCGCTGCAGGAGCGCAGCGGAGCGCACATGAGTGACCATCACAGGATAAACCTGACCGCAGGGCTGCTGAGAGAGAGAGAGTGTGTGTGTGTGTGTGTGTGTGTGTGTGTGTGTGTGTGTGTGTGTGTGTGTGTGTGTGTGTGTGTGTGTGTGTGTGCGCGCGAGAGAGAGAGAGAGAGAGAGAGAGAGAGAGAGAGAGCTGTTTCTTTGAACTTACTGAGAATTCCACTTTCTTTAAAGCTCTCCAGTAACAGCAGTTCACTCACTCAAGTTACTCCTGCATGTTTCAACAACCATGTGACATCAACATTTCTCATAAATATCTTTATATTTTATCCCATCCAGACACAAGAGGGCAGCATGACCCATGTATTGGTTAATTGCCTGAAACAGAGGAACCCCACAGGGACCTGTCATAGCATTGTTATTGTTTCCTTTTCGTAATGAGACAGCATTAAAGGGAGACCACTGATGATTTGACCAGCTTGCAGTATATTTAATGGTTATGTGACCTTCTTTCAGTTCAGAAAGCGTATTTATTCAAAATCCACCCACACGTGAGACAAATCTTTCTGATTTCTACTAAAAGGAAGAAACTTAATTTGCACCTTGTTCCCAAAGGAGATAATTTGTGTCTTTGCAAGAATATTAAAACATTGCTATCAGTCAAATGTATTGAAACAGGTGGAACTGTAGCCCACCCAAATGGTGTTGTTCTCACACCGTTTCACAGGTAATGGGCTCCTTTCATCACAGCAGTTTGTGTGTGTGTGTGTGTGTGTGTGTGTGTGTGTGTGTGTGTGTGTGTGTGTGTGTGTGTGTGTGTGTGTGTGTGTGTTATTGCTGACCTGTGACCTAATGCTCCTCATCTGCATCTTGACAGAGTGAGAAAGATAGATCTACAGATAAGATGAATTGATCAACAGAACATCGATATTCAACAATAATGATTTCCCTTCTTTCAATATCTCAAGTGTGACATTTCTGTGACAGTTAACTGAATATCTTTTGGTTTATAAGTTTTTTCCTAGATTTGTTGTGATGTTCCTTTTTGAATATTGTGGTGCTGCAGCATCCAACGTTTGTGTGCTGTCCCTGTTTCCAGGTTATCTTGGTTGTAAGAGACACTGTGACAGCTTGTCATCCTCTGCTGGAAGTTTACACAGACATTGAGGCTTCCTCTAGTTTGTATGCACCCAGAATCCGTAAAAGACTGCCAGAACATCTGGGGACATAACCTTCTTTTCGAAAGTGTGATTCATCCTATCACATCCTAAACATTTGATAAATAACAACCAATACAGTGTTAAGTTATATCACAAATCCTGCTAAATGCAAATATGTTCGAGGCTTATCTTTTAAAGGAAATTCATGTCATTTGAATGGCTTTTTATGATTAGGTATAGGCTGATGAGGTAAGATTATTCACTTGATTACAGCGAGTTTCAGCTAGTTTCAAACTCTTTGCAGTCAAGTTGCATTATGGTAAAATAGGTGTCAAAGTGTCACATAAAAAGGGTTGACATTATGACATTGTTTCATCAAACTGGCGAACGTGTTAAACATGTACAGTAGTTGGGATGTATCAAGCATTTTAAGGAAGCATAAATGCCTTATGATAACACAAGCAAAACAATCAAGATGATCAGGCGTATTAGGAATTAAATATAAGAGGTGAAGGTTTACTACATATCACAGTTGTATTGTTTAGTTCCTTTAAAACAAAAGAGTGACATTGGAAGGTGTGATAGAAGAAAATCCTTCAGTTACATTAAAACCCCAATATTCACTTCTTCAATGAAGCAGGAATCACATTACGAGTGAATGTTTCATAACTGACAGACTTATTTCTCCGTTAGCATTATGTGATTGCAGTGTTTTTTTTGTTCTACTTTGAATATCTCAGACAAGTGACAACCCTGTAAATCAGCTATGTGTCTATGGCAACCATGGGAAACCAATGTTATTTTGAAATGCCATTGAATAATTGATTTGCCGACTGTGACACTGACTCTGTTGTGCTTGTGATTTGCGGAGGAGTGTGTTAAAAAGAGAATGTTACCCCTATGGATGTTTAGATGCCTGTGCTGTACACTCACACATTACATTACAGTCATACATAAAAGTATAGGGTGTCCTGAAACCTTATTTCCTTCGAACCAGGGGACCTGTCGCCGTGATGCACTCCACTGTAGCCCACACATTTGGCCTAACAGTGTCAGTGTCATATTACGCACATGCAGTGTGGTAAATGGATCATTTTCATTTCTCACACTTTCCAATTCAATTCACTGGGATTTGAAATCTACTCTGTCACATGTTTCAATATGGGTTTGCTTATTGATCCAAATGTGCATCAATCACGTTTCAGGTCTCATTCTTTGCAAGTAGGAGTTGAATTTGTTTCTGAATGTGTGAAAGAGACTGGAATCTAATGAGTCAAATTGAGCTGATCCATTGGTTTCTGCTTGATTTCCTTTTATTACAGCAGTGAAGGGTTGGCATTTCATCTGTGCTAAACAGCTCGGTTTAAAAAAACAAGGACTCGATGTGACAGCTGAAAGAAATGTCCTGTGTGTCGGAGTCTCTAAATTCTGTGTGTGCAAGGATCCATCACATTTCCATGGCAATGTAATGTAATGTAATGTAACCCATTTGAGGCAGCTACACGGACAGACAATTTACCTAACATCCATCTATTTCTCAGTGTTCATTTCAGAATAAGGATTATCTTCCAAATTCTGCATTTTACCTCTAAATGTGTCATATTGCAACAACAAAGATATCCCAGAATTTATTTTCAACACCTCCAGTGAGAAATTGCAGCAATCGGTTTCCTATAATTCACTGCCGTCCAGTCAATCGTTTAATGGTGCATTCAATTGATCGCAGACCTTGTTGTGTGCATCATATTTGTGTTCAGGTGGTCAATGGTAAATACATCACATAATCTAGATCAATGAAAAATCAATGTAGTGTTCGTGTTAGCTGCCTGATTGTGAAATGTATGAGAAGCAATTAAAGTGTAAGTTATATGGATATATAAATGGAAGCTATGAATACATTGACATATTTAAAGAGTTCAATTCAACACTGTCCAAAGCTGGTACGTTGCCAGTTTAACATTCTGTGGAACTTCAACTGTTAGCTCAATTACTGCGTTGTGGAATTGTCTTGTCTAATTTATTGTAACTGATAGGTACCATTTTGTTCGCTGTTCGATTGATTGTGTGACCTGCTGATATTTGGTCAGCTGCTGGAACATTTCATTAGGTTTATTTTCTGTTTGATTACACAGTCTGGCCCTTTGAGGGGATCCAGCTCTTCAATCAGAATGTAATGTTCATTAAATTGGAGGCAACTGGTCTTTTTACTTTTGGCATTTGTAGGACCGTGTAAAGCCACTGGGTAAAGCCACTGAGAAACCCACATTTTCTCAGATTTAGTTTGGTTCAAAGTAAAAGAATAAACACATTTTCTGTTTATAAAATTGGCTATCTTATTATCAGCTCAACTTCACCTTTGACCAGACCTTAAGAAAAAAAGAGATAAAAATGCTGTAGGCTAGTTGTCTTACTGCCCTAATGAAATTACAAAATTGCAACAAAGTCATGGGGTCTTTTGGGCTCCTGAGTGTCCGTTTCCTGTGGCAGCTGCAAGCTTTGCATACTGGTAATTGAGCCTTGGGTATTTTACTAGTTTTGTAATGGCTCGTGACAACTTAAAAGATAATGACTACCATGTTGACACACAATATTTATAGCCAGACACACAAGCGAAACAATTAGATAGAGACAGAGAGCTTTTTATGTCGTCTATAAGCACATTGGCCAGTTAGATCAGGGATAGAGAGAGAGTGAGAGAAAGAGATAAAGGTCAGGGTTAGTAAGGCTATCACTGCATCAGCTAAAGCCCCGTCCTGTGTGTGTGTGTGTGTGTGTGTGTGTGTGTGTGTGTGTGTGTGTGTGTGTGTGTGTGTGTGTGTGTGTGTGTGTGTGTGTGAGTGAGTGAGTGAGTGTGTGTGTGTGTGTGTGTGTGTGGGCCTATGTCAATGCTCTTTTAATGGTCTGCTAATCCTAAATGCATTTGGCTGGCGAATTAATCCAAGCCTTGTCATAGCCAAGCTTTAAAACCCTTTTCTATCCCAACCCTGTCTCTCTCTCGATCTTCCTTCCTCCCAGGCTACTCTCTATCAGTTTCCATCTCCAGATGGTATCTTGGAGGTAGGTGTGATACAGAGAGAGAGCAGAGGGAGAGAGAGAGAGACATAGAGACAGAGAGAGAGAAAGAGAGAGAGAGAGAAATAGAGAGAGAGAGGATGACCTGTGACGCGAACGGAGCCTCCTCATTGGAGCGGAGGAGAGAGAAAGAGAGAGAGGGGGGTTCATTTGTTGCCATAGTGAAAACGTAGATTACCCACAGACAGCATGATGCGCTGATGCACGCGTGAAGGGATGCTGTGTTTCTCCAGGAGCATTCACCTGTCCTGCATGCAAAGGTATGTAACTTCTCTTGTTTTGCACTCGTGAATGGGACTTTATATAATTGCATGATCGAGTAAAGATCTATTTCTCCTAAAACACACAAGTTCATGTCTGGGATTCGTAATCGAGTCAGACGCTTCCTCAGATAGCTCCCCTTTACGTGTTATGGAATTATAGGAGAAGTACGATGTATTTTATAGCCAGTTGCATCAAAGAGTGATCATGAAATATTGACTTGTATCGACAACATCATTTATACTGCAATATGTATGTAGGCTAACATTAGATGCATGGATAAAACAAAGAAGTTACATATTATTTGTTTTCTAAGGGAATATTGTTCAGTCATAAAGCAACATACATTTCTAAATATTGCTTCCAGTAAAAAAAAACATCAATTCGGTGTTTTTTAAAGGAAAAGTTATCTTCATAAAAAGTTGCCATGCCCTTTAAAATAGGCTACACAAACAAGTATATTTTCGTACAAAACCTGAGACAGTCTTTGCTTGCAGTCAGTGTTATTATGGCTGGAGACATTTGCAGGGGGGCAGGATATTTCCATTAGATTCCTATTGATTTTTTAGATTTGTTAATGATTTGATCTCTGTGGGTCTTTAAAGTTGGCGCCAGTCGAAGCTGTATAGGTTAATGGCTCTTCTGTGACCGCCATGAAACTTCAAATGTTATCGATCTCCTCCAGTGCGTCGTTATCCCAGTTTACAGCGTCACCTCTGATGTGTGTGTGATCCGAGGGGAGAGAGACGGTCCAGCTTCATTCTACACAGGAGGCTATTAGAAGAACCACTGATCGCCTACTAGGCCCTGCGTCCATTTCTTTGATCAGTACAATTTAATTAAAGGCGTGTGTGAGTCCAGGCTTTACAGTACAAGTCAAAAGGACCATTGACTCAGATGGGTGCACACAAGGGAAATAAAAAAAAAGATACTGAAAGCTACAATCTACTTAGCTTTGAGAGCTTTAGCCTACTCGTTTTTCCCCAAATGAGTTTTCAAATGTTGGCTATCAACAGTGTAGCCCTCCAACCTCTTTCCACTGCAGTTTATTGTATTACCAAATGTGTTTTATGATTCGGAAATCTGTAGTCATAGGCTATATTTTAATTACACTGTGCTTGTAAGCCTATCTAGACAATCGTTTAAAAAAAATCATAATCTCTTTGAACAGCACATTAGTTTTATGCAAAGTAGGCCTATTCTTAATTATTGATGTAAAATGCTGGCTTGCCTTAATATACTCACTCTACGTGCAATGTGAACCTGCTACCACTTGCTTTGTAATACTTTAGGGGCTGTGTTCATGTCAATAAGTCACATTTAAACGTAGGACACTTTTGGAACAGGAGAGAAAGTGACAACAAACCGGAAGTCAGCTTTGATTGGCTGAATCGTGCAGGTCACAGGTGTTCCGTCTGTACAATTACTTCGCTCTTTTCGGTGGCGTGTAATTTCGGTTTGTAGTAATGTGGGTTGAGTTTATGCACCACAGAAGACGACTTTTTTGGTGCGTAGCTGGCAGAAAACTGGATATCTCGGAAAATGGGAATCACAACTTGACGAAGAAACAGTTTTAGATAAGCTAAAAAGCAATTAGCCTAGGCTAGCTAGCAAAACAGTCATGTTGTTAGCAATTAGTCAGTGCAAACCAGCTGCTAGCTTGTCCAATTTTAGGAACACAGTTTTTTTGTTTGTCCTCACTCCTCGCCTCATCAGGTAGAAAGAAACGATGAAGGACAGGAGGATAAGCAAGATAGATGAGGTGAAAGAAATGTTCAAAAACAAGCTGAGAGACCCAAGGGACATAGAAGATAAGAGGAGAGGAGGCCAAATGAAAAGGTTGGTGTTTGAGTGAAATTAAGTGGCGTAAACTAAATAATTTTCTTAAGTACAATTTTGAGGTACTTGTACTTTACTTAGGGCTTTAAATTGTTTGCTACTTTTTACTTCGACTTTGATTTACTCCACTACATGTATCTAATAACTTTGGTTACTTTGCATATTTTGATTAATGGTGTGAAATATAATCAAGACTTTAGTTACACCTGGTGTAAATTCACAAGCTACCCTGCAAGGTAAGGTAACTAAAACTAGCTGCACCTTTACCAGCTTTGATAACACTTTGCATCAATAATTATGATCAAAATATGATATTACTGAACATAAGGAGTACTTTCGCTTTTTGTACTTGAGTAACCTTTACTTGTTACAGAGTATTCCTGCACTTTGCTACTTGTACTTGTACTTAAAGATCTGAGTACTTCTTCCAGTTAGACTAAAGGGGGAAATTAAATGGAGATGGACTGGAGGTTATAAAGATGGAGAGCTGGAAAGGAGTGGATGAGAGGCGAAATAAAGCTCGCAGATAGGTGGGATTGGATGGGGGTGTGTGGAGAGGGGCTTAGGCACGAGAGGAGGAGCGAGGGGCGCGAGGTGTTTGGAGACACGCTCAGGTGTGCGTGACTGGAAAACGGAGGGAGCTCTGCACAGAGACAGCTCCGGTGTGTTTGACATTGGAATACACGTTATCGGCAGTGTCTTCTCTCTGCGTGTTGGAACTTGCAACCTAATTGCCAAACCGTGTCGAGGACGCCAGCGAGACATAGAATCAAATAAGGTAAGATTACGATTTCTGCAGAAATGTAATGAAAAGACCACCGTGTTTCTTCACACACTTATCCCGCCTGCCCTACTCAATATTCTGCTCAGAGTCGCACTTTGATATTATTGTTCTTGCAGTACCCATGGAGGGACTCACTTGCAGTTACATCGGGACTCCTTATCCTTGAATTATATTAAGGTTATTTCCAGAGATACATCCCAATAGGACGGAGAGGGATCAGAAACCTGGCTTTTATCCGTGCATGCTGTAACAAGGTTAATTTCAGACGGTGTCTCTGTCATGCTTTGCACCATTCGCATGTACAAAATAAATAATCGCATGAGTGTTTGATTCGGTGCAAATGATGGACTCTGATCTCCTACTGCGGTTGACGGATGCAGCTCTGCGCCAGTCATTGTTGTTGTCTCCGGATTTCATTTCTCCTTGGAGAGAGGCAGCTTGCCCGGACGCTGCACATCCATAATATCAGTTAATGCATTGCTTTATAGTGACGCTAAATGAACATCAACGAAGCCCCATAGACACAGCATGTAAATCAGCTACAATGAGGTCGTTGAAACAGACGATTGAGATATGGCTGCAGATGAAGTGATTTGAGGTCAGAGCTTGTTTGGGAGAGTAAAGTCAGGCGCCGCTGTCTCACACCTTGTCTGGTGTGCAGCTGCAGCAGGTAGAGTCAATACTGTGTTGGCACAAATACTTTACATGTATGTTTTATTCAGAGGCTGTGTTGTATAACATTACCAAAGGGAGATAATCCACAGTTCTCAATAGTGCGTTTACAGTGACATAATGTGATATAGATGTTGGCTTGATCACTACACTGAATTTTGATTCTGAGAGATTCTGATGGGGGGTTTGACATCTTCCTGCCTGTAATTGTTCGATAAGATCATTCAGTGAGTCTGATTAGATGGAATGTCTGACAAAAATGTATTTGGCTGTAGCAGTCAGGGTAGATGCATGTAAGAAACTAAAATGTGAATGTAGTGTTGGTGTCTCTAAGCCTCAGTGGTGTCAGCACCAGGGACAGCTCCTATAGTGGCACTTAGGTCGTTTCAGAAACAAGGCAGCAGTCACTTAAGAGCAAAATAACTTAACTTTTTAGAATTGCTGAAACGCCTTATTTCCTGCTGCAAAATAAAGTCCCCTGTCCACTCGGGAACAAGACACACATGGAGACAAATTGTCACACATGGAAGATGAGCACAAACCGCCCCTGGATAACTGAAGCTTCCCTGAAATATTGCTGCTTCCTTGTGGTGTGTACACAACAGAAATCACAGTCCAACCCATTTTAGTTGCCGATGAATTATTTTGGAAGCATTGCGTTATGGAATAGCTTGATGGTGCCAATTTGCTCGGTTGAACTTCCATTCAGTTGTGTTATATTCGCAGGAAGATACAAACATTCTCTTTTATTTAAAGATGCGTTATCGGTTATTAAACTGTGATGCTGGTACTCCATTTTCTTCCTACATTTTCTGCTGGTCGTATATAACTCTTACAAGTGCACACGGCCAGAAGGTGATGAGATAATGCTCTCTTAAGATCACGTCGTTGAATGCACAATAACTATAGGGCATTCAGGATGCCTCCATGTAAGCATGTTTAGGTCTTGTTTGCGTCGGTTTGTGTCTTGATGTACATTTATCTAAGGACACTTTTTTCCCCAATTAATTTAATTTGTCAAAACTTACAGTAAAAAAGTTTTACAGTCCAACTCAAGCCACTCAGACGATAAAAAGAGCAACAGCAATCTATTTTGAAACCTCCAGACGCTGACCCTGCTCCATCATTTATTACAAACAGCAATGTCTGTGCGTCACACAGAGCAAGACGGAGAAAATAAATGTGTTTGCTTACCAGGGATTCTTTTAGATAAATTGTTATTGTTATCATCCCTGTTTAATGAACACTAAATTAAATGCTTTCTCAACACGTAAAAGAGTGTGAGTTTGCACTAATGAAACTCATTGAATTAAAGCAAGACAGAGGGAGGGAGAATGCTGGTCTCCGCCTGTGATGTCTGTTTAAGTGTGTATAGAAGTTGATTTGGAAGGTTTTTAAAATGCCCTTGTGCTTAGTTTGGATAGAACTAGACATAAAAATGCCTAATAGCGTGTGCAAAATGTTTGTTTAGGGAATGAGGATTTGATTTTCTCTTCCTCTCAGCTACAGTTAGGCCTACGCAACAAGAGAGAGACACAGAGGGGGAGTGTGACAGAGGCACAGCATGTAAGCCACTGTGTGAGAGAGGCATACTGAAGAGACGATTGCAAATGAAACAGTGGCTCGTCTCAGGGAGAGAGAAGCGGGTGGGGAAAGGACTTTTAGGTGAGTGGGAATTTGAATTACCCGAGTTAGCAGTGTCATTTGTAACTTCACATTAATGTGGCAGTAGATCTAGGGGAACAGTAGACGAAGACACAATCGCGTCATTGGTACAGACAGAGTGTGTGTGTGTGTGTGTGATAGCCGAGTTTTGTTTGATTTGTTCATTATGGGAGCAGCAGTTAGGCCTGTTGCCATCCTGACACTGGCATGTTAATTATGTTCAGTGAGACTCTCTGTCCCCTGATGCCTCTTTTTATCACTCTCTTTCTTGTTCCGTTCTCATCTCCCTTTCTAGCTTCATCTCTCCTCCTCTTCATCTTTCTACATGCACTTCCCCTTTTGCTTCCTTCTCCCACGCCGCCGTTCCCCCTTTGCTCACCAAATCTTTCCACCTTCTGTCTTTTTGTCTAATACTGCACTCGGTTTCCTTTCCTTCTAACATGTCCCTCTCCTCTATTGCTCTTTTCTATCCAACACTACCCCCTCAGTCTCCCTGCTTTCCCCACTGAGCTAACCACCATCACCCCTGTCACGACCTTGATCCTGTTTTGCATAAGCAGTGGATGCCGTCTAAACTGTCCCTGCTCCCCTGCTGTTTACGGTCAATTAGATTGCTCCATTGCAGGGGACTAAAGTATTTGAGTAACTCTGAGGTTAAGCAAATTATAAGACTTGCCCATTAATGCAGGGATGGCTACTTTAATGTTTACTCAGAGGAGGACACTGATGTCCCTCCTATCTATGCTTGGTGTAGTTTGTGTAGCTAGATGTGTTCTCTAGGTCTGTTTGAATCATCACCTGAAAGCTTTTGCCAAATTCTTTGTTTCTTCTTTCTGTAACGCAATTTCTTAACAATTCATATTGTAATGATAACAATGGAAGGGGGTCACATCTGGAAAGATCACGAAAAGCCAGTGTGAAAGTAATAGGTTACAATCAGAGCAGCAGGAGAACAGGGTATAACACACCTGATTGATTTTGTTGGTGTCAAGGGGCAAACACTTGAGGAATGACATTAAATCGGCTGAGTTTCTTGTTGCTCTCTTACCTTATTTTCTTTATCTTATCTTGATCTTCAAGGACCAAAACAAAAATAAATTCAAAGAAAACTGGGACTGTCAGTGCTTTAATGCGACCTTGTTGCTGTCATGTTTTCACAAGTAAGACTCCTCACAGCAGCTGTGAGGTGTAATATGATGTTGTCTTGTGTTATTGATATAATGTTGACACAGTGGTGACTCTGCCTTGTCACAGTGATTTAGAGCGGGCATTATGAAGAGCAGGACTAGGCCAGGGATTGAAACGCCTCCATACATAAATCAAGAGCACTGGTGTAGAGCTGATTCTCTAGTCATCACATTAAGCTTCATTAAGAACAAACATCCATTGCTCATTGATAGCCAAGGCAATGGTCATTATGTTGATTTGATTGGCACAGTTCTCATTCCCATTTCAATTAAACTTCAAGTGTCCTGTGATTGACATTTGCTGTGAAAGCGCTGCTCACAAAAGCTTTGCCAAGTGAGAGTGAAAAATATGAACTCTGGCTTTCCTTTAGACATTTTTCTCTTATCATTAGTTTCTTAAAAAGACGAGGTGTGAAGGGAAATTGGTCATAGAAGAATGTAAGTCTTTGGAACCTACTTATGTGTCTGGATTTCATTTTAAACTTGTCTGAAGGTATGATTTACCCAAATAATATAGGTGTCTTGATCCGATTAAACGTTTGCCTGTTAATCTGAGGTTTGAGTGATAGACAAGATTAAAATCCCCCATCATAGTTGTTATTGTATTTCCCTATTTTTCCATGCAGGGTATAATATGATAAATTAAACTCAAACAAATCTTAATGCGTATAGTCAAGTCCTTATTTCATAGGATTCACACATATATCAAATGGAAGGTTATGAAGCATAAGCAGATAGGAGATGGAGTCTACAGACTGATTATACTAGAAGTAAATAGATAAACTATGAAACTACAAAAAACCCTGTGAAGGCTGCATGCCTGTGAAATCCAGCAGCAGCTACAATGAATTCTCCATACACAGGTTTGTGTGAACATGTCTGTCGTTCACCTGTTACTGTGGAGAGCAACTCTGCCTTATAATTGGTGGTGCCAGATGTTGTTTCCTCCAATGAGACTGAGCCTACGTTTTCTTTTGACTTTCCCAGGTTGCACTGCTGCACCTGCCTCAGCTGTTGCAGTGATGGTCAGACCTTGAAATCTGAACGTCAACACAGAGGAAAGGAATATTTTCCAATCATCCACTCACATAAACTCATCTGTGCCACAAGCTCCTGCCATGGCCAGGAAAAGTGTTCCTCGGACAAGTAGTTTCCTGTGAAGGCTCTACTCAACACATATGAGATCTGCTTCTCCTTTGTTACCTCAACGGACCAAGATGATGCTTCGGCTGCTGCTAGTTCTGTCCATTTGTGTGGGATCTTATGAAGCTGACTCTGCCCTGTCCGAACGGCGAGTTGTAGCACACAATCCTGGTGACATCATCATCGGAGCGCTGTTCTCTGTCCATCATCAGCCTCCTGCTGACAAGGTAATTTGGGGTATTTTGTATTTTGTCTATGTGCAGGATTGTTTGTCTGTCATTAGAATTCAGTGCAAACTTTGTGTTTTAATATCCTGTCTGGATTTGAAGAGAAAATAATTTGAAAATGTAACACAAGTAAAGGGATACAATTATAGTCAAATAGTAAGGATTGGAGATGGTTTTTGCATCTATGGCACTGTGAGTTGCAGTAGTATGTTCCCCTGCTCATTAAGTCCCAAAGCAGACATTACATTTGTGGAACGGGTACCTCTGTGTGAGTCCATGAACCTTCATCCTCCATTAGCTTCCGCAGGAACCTTTAGCCACCCACCGACATTTAATCTTTTTTTCCATCTCATTACGGATAATTGCAAACTAGAAAAATAACTCTTAGACACAGCAGACCTGTGACTATAAAACTAATATTATTTGTGCAGTGAAGCAGCCATGTGTTAAAAGCCTTAGTTCAACATTCTTTACTGTTCATTCAGTCTACAACACAATTAAAATGCATCTAAATAATGAATGCCATCATCAGTAATTGCAACATTTACACAACACTGTTACATAAATGCCAGCTCAATTAGACTTGATTTGATTTCTTCTTCGCAGGTACACGAGCGCAAATGTGGCGCGGTGCGGGAGCAGTACGGCATCCAGAGGGTGGAGGCCATGATGTACACGCTGGACCGCATCAACGCCGACCCGTTCATCCTGCCCAACATCTCCCTGGGCTGCGAGATCCGGGACTCCTGCTGGCACTCGGCCGTGGCTCTGGAGCAGAGCATCGAGTTCATACGGGATTCACTGGTCTCCTCTGACGACGCAGAGGAGTGGGGGGGCGGAGGGGGACTAGGGGGAGGAGGTGGCGGAGGAGCGAGCACGGTGAAGTGTTCAGACCCCTCGGCCACTCCCATGCGGGGGAAGAAACCCATCGTGGGTTTAATTGGACCGGGGTCAAGCTCTGTGGCCATCCAGGTCCAGAACCTTCTACAGCTGTTCAACATACCACAGATTGCCTACTCTGCCACCAGTATGGACCTCAGCGACAAGGTGAGACCAGGAACCTGTGGACACATTTCATTCAAGTAGCCCATACATGTTTGAGAGAGAATGTGTTACTGCTACCTTTATTGCTACTTTAATTGGACACGACACATTGCCTAACTGGATGATTTAAATGTTTCTGAATAATCCTGCCATTGATTTAATTTCCATTATTTTCAGAGCCTTTTTAAGTACTTTATGCGGGTGGTGCCTTCAGATGCCCAGCAGGCAAGAGCTATGGTGGACATTGTCAAGAGATACAACTGGAGCTATGTGTCTGCTATACACACCGAAGGTACTAACACACACACACACACACACGCACACGCACGCACGCACGCAGACACACACACGCAGACACACACACGCAGACACACACACGCAGACACACACACGCAGACATGTTTTTTCCGTTTCCTTGTTCTCTTCTGTTCTCTCCGCCACTGCCTCGTAACATGCTGCCTTGACTCCTCATCACAAATTATTACCTGTATTTTTTCCCACAATGAAAGAAATTCGAGAAAAGTCAAAGTTCTAAGTCCTTGATTTCTTTCAAATGTACAATTGTGAAGACACTTGTGATGCTTTGCAAGGAGAAAAGGCAAATAAGTTTATTTTGAACAAGACTAGAGTATTTTGAGCTCAAGGACAAGAATCGGGACCAAGACAAGGGAGAGAGGAATGTAATTGACAAGATGGATCGCAGCGGAGAGGCAGTGTTTTTTGAAAGAGATGAGTTTTCAGCTTACTAACGTAAATGTGATGAAAATTGAATTATTGTTGCTGGGTTGATGCCAGGAGGTTTATGAAGCAGAAGTATCTAAAAATAGCAGTGAGCAGGAGTTTGGCAGGTACTGTAGTGGTTGAATGGGGTTACAAAAACAGGTGGTTGCCACACCACCAGAATAAAGCCTCTGAGAATAAAGGAGAGGACATTACACCAAACACCATACAGAAAAAAAATATGCTTTCGAGCTAATATTATGAAGTATCTATTAAAAATGTATACATCCTCAATGATGAATGGCCGGGTAGAAACACGAGGTGTGTGTGTGTGTGTGTGTGTGTGTGTGTGTGTGTGTGTGTGTGTGTGTGTGTGTGTGTGTGTGTGTGTGTGTGTGTGTGTGTGTGTGTGTGTGTGTGTGTGTGTGTGTGTGTGTGTGGTGTGTGTGTGTGTGTGTGTGTGTGTGTGTGTGTGTGTGTGTGTGTGTGTGTGTGTGTGTGTGTGTGTGTGTGTGTGTGTGTGTGTGTGTGTGTGTGTGTGTGTGTGTGTGTGTGTGTGTGTGTGTGTGTGTGTGTGTGTGTGTGTGTGTGTGTGTGTGTGTGTGTGTGTGTGTGTGTGTGTGGGTGTGTGGCTGTGGGGCTGTGTGTGTGTGGCTGTGTGTGTGGGGCTGTGTGTGTGGCTGTGTGTGTGGGGCTGTGGCTGTCTACTGAGAGAAGGCTTGTTTGACCTGAAAGTGTGTAATAAAGAGCAACACACACACAGAGGACTGGCCTCTGGCATTGCCTGAGGGCTTTACAACAGCATTTGAATTGAGCTACGAAGGGTAAGTGTGTGTGTGTGTGTGTTAAAGGTGTGAGAGGGTGTTTTTGTGAGGTATTTGTTATCGTGTGGTTATAATGTAGGGCAGGAATTTATAAAGAAGCAACAATATTGCAGATATGCACTTACTGTAAATAACTGTCTATTTTTTCAATAATCAGTATGATTAATATTGTAGAAATAATACACTTTACCTTAGTAACAAGGTTGTTCGGTGGTAATTAAACTTTGCAGAATGATATTATTGACCTTAATTCTTCCAATTGAAAACGTGAAATCTTGAGACGATCAGATATTTGTGTAAATCTGTCTTCTCTTGTTTATGTTAATGATTGGATACAGAGCTCCCTAGATATCTGTAACAATATCAATGTCAGAAATAACATTTGTCTTGTGAGTGACATTTCGTTTTTGTCTCATGAGACAGATCCCCGTGAGTGTGTGTGAGCTGCTGGTGTGCTGCCATTAATCTGAGCAACAAGACAGGGAGTGTGTGTGTGTGTGTGTAATGGAATTTCTGTTTTAGAGAGTGCTTGTGGTCATGAGTGCAAATGTGTGGGATTGTCGGGGAAAGTATTGGTCTTTCTATTTCTTCAGACAAGCGGGGTTGACCTTGGAACTGGTCCTCAAGGTCAACTGTTTCCTCCTCAAACACAATCAGTCTCAAACGAGGAGAAATGGAGGGTGGCTGAGTGAGGACAGAAGGGATGAGAGAGAGAGAGAGAGAGATAAGAAAGGCAAGGGAGGGGAGAGCAGGGAGGAAAATGCAGGAAGAGGGAAGGAAATGAAGGAAATGGGAAGAAGAGAATTGGGGGATGAGAGACGGGAGGGAGGAAGAGGGAATGGGGAATGCCGTAATAACAGTGCCAGAAATGGTACAAGGTGTGGCTGTGTCATGCTTGGGATATATAAGATGAAGAGTAAAGAGGGGGGAGGTAAGCATATACTCATTAATTCTCTTTATTAACATTTTGCATCTGGAGGCGATAGAAACTGATATGGAAGAAACTGAATAATACATGTTATATCAGCACAGTAATTACATTGATGTGATGAGGTGATATTATTGGAGAGGGGAATACCATGTGTATTCCTTTCATGCCCCAATACATACGCAAATGTATGCATGTTGAGTTGGACAACCGTTTCACTTCCATTTGTAACGCAAAGAAGTCTCTCTAGACTAGTCGTGTATCATCAGTCCCTTTTGTCCTTTGTATTCAACGTTTTTCATCTTCAAGCTTAAGGGTCAAGTTCTACAGAAATTAGAAGTGAGTCATAAAGAAACCAGACACACAAGATGGAGAGATATATTCAGATATATGTATAGATAGATGGTGACTATGCAGTGCACGTAGCAACTCGAAACTGTTACATAAAATGGGATAAAAACAGTATCGAAGGAGTTGAAAGGCAAACTGTTTAAAACATAGGTGTAGAGTAATAGAATATTATTCACTGATATATGGATCATTTTCATTGAGCTGAGGTCTGTGGGACACATCATTAGTAGGAGAGACTTCAACAGACGCCTTTTTCTTACAGAAGAAAAGTTTGAAAGTCTAACTGTTCCTGGAATAAATGCCTCGAGCACTTTTAAGAGAACAGGGTGTAGCTGAAGGTGCTCAGTCGCTTCACTAGTCACTGAAAGGAAAGGGAGGTGTTGTCCATTAGCCTTTGTCAGCATTCTTTCTTTAAATGCACCACCACTTTTATTGTTGCTAGTATGTACATGCACTCTAGTGAATAGATCAAGTGTGCGCCTATTTGGTTTTGATCGGAGTTATTTTATCATGAAAGAAACTAATAATGATTAACACATGTTTGAAATTGGGTTTCAGTTTTGCTTTAGTAGAGAATAATTATTATCCTCGGCTGTTTCACTCTTTCTCTTTCCGCTCTGTGTCGCTCGGTTCAATTTCATTCAATTCAGCTCAATGGGTTTTATTGACATACAATTTGACATGTGTCACGAGTACTCTCCTCCAACAGAAATTGATCAATCTCAATAAGTCAAGATGTCAACCTTCCCTCCACCTCTTCTCTCACTCCCTTTTTGTCTTCTCTCATTTCTTTCTCCCATTTGTCTTGAATGACTCCTCACCTCCTCCGTTTTCTCTCTGTCTCTGTAGCATCTCATGCCCTGTGCCTCTTTAACTGCCATGGCCGTTGCAGGATTGAGGAAGATGAAACTGGGATGGGTTCGGGAACACAGTGTAGAGAAAGGTATAATGATCGGGAAGAGGAGAAAGACAGAAAGTGCTCAATTATTATTTATTTATTTGGGTGTATATTCAAAGATGGTCATGGGCCAGTTTTCGTGGGTCCCCATATAACAACAGTTTCTGTCTCTTTTTAATGAGCCTCGGTCACAGAACTACATCTGCTCTGATAGCAGATCTCTTGTTCTGCAATCTGCAATCCTTTGAATGGCTTCTGTTAAGATGGATAGATGGTTTGGCAGCTGGGGAGCATTACAGAGAGATTTCCTGTTGGCACAGATGTAAGTAAGGTCATTAAGGGGTAGAAATGGCTAAACTGTTGCCATGTTCAAATGGATTCAAAGCATTTACTGGAGGATGTTATTTATTATACTGGGTCTGTAAGTATTTGCACCTGTAGAGATATATGTGGGCCTGCATACAGCATCACAAACAGTGTGTTCATGATGTGTGTTTGTTTCTCTGTACGCGAACAAGAATGGTGCATGGGCACAGACATGGTTCATTTCTGACTCCAGAGTTTGCTCAGTGGAATGAAAGCATGGGGCAAGTGGATTTGGTCATTGTTATAAACTGCTGATAAACACCCTGGCTGTTGCCTGAAGCTATTTCCATTAAAAGAAAAGAATGAGACGGGGTTGTGTAACGGTACACAAATGTCACGCTTCGGTGCGAGGTCGGTACAGCGCGAAAAGGATACATTTGTTTTCATTTATTTTAAATAGACAGTAAAGTGCAAGTGCCAAGGACGAATAAAATCGTAAAATAAGGAACGTTTCAAACACCTATATTGCACTGAACAGAAAAACATGTTGCATTAGGCTATACATCTGAAAGTGAAAATGCCAAAGGAAATAGAATTATACAAGATAAATGTGTGCTTTAGGAGGAGTGTATCAATTAGATGGCTATGTTTGAACATTAAAACCACCCACACATTAATCATCCCGGTGATAGACACATCTTAGCGCTAGAGTAGCCTGATTTATGCATGTCTTTTCACAGAGCCTACAGCGGTGGGCAACTTCGACACATAACCCTTGTTTTATACGCATCTCTCTCTCTCTCTCTCTCTCTCTCTCTCTCTCTCTCTCTGTCTCTCCTCTCTCTCTCTCTCTCTCTCTCTCTCTCTCTGTCTCTGTCTCTGTCTCTGTCTCTGTCTCTGTCTCTCTCTGTCTCTCTCTCTCTCTCTCTCTCCATCTGTTGTTGTAGCTGACCAGGAAGCTGCCTTTATGAGTTGATGACAGACAGCTAATCTGTATCTATTCTGATAATCAAGGAAAAACCTTTTGAGTTTGTTTTGTGTGCATTTCTTAAATCTAAATGTTGGTAGAAAAACAAGTCATTTAAAGAAAATAATTTAACAATTCCTCAAACATGTAGACAAACAAGAATATTGTACCGAGTCTTTGCTTGTCTGTGTGCAGAGGCATGCTGTTTGTGGTAATGTGTGCATTCCATTAGCTGTGTAATCTTGTCTTAACACAGTGTGGGTGTCAGTGAGTGTCAACCCCTGGGGTATTTCTGTGTTTGACATTTCGCTACACATTGTTTTAGCGCTCCAGATGTGATAGTTTGGGGATTGAGGATAACTTGGAGAGAACAAAAAAGAGGGGCAGAAAGATGATGCCCTTTACTGAATAGTGTTTATATTTGTACTGCATGTTGTTTTTCTGTTCTCTGGGTAAAAATGGATTTAGGGTTAAAAGGAGGAGACGGACAGACAGACAGGAAGGGAGGGAGGGGGAAAGGGAAGTAACATGTAATTGCATGTAATAGACCTGATAAGAGTGACGAGAGGATGAGAGTGGTAATTGAGAAGGATGAATAAAGGGTGTGAGGAAGAGGGGAGGGATGGAAACGATAGGGGGGGAAATACACTGAAGCACCTGTCTCTGCATCTTAAAATGTACTGCCTGATGTGCTGCTAGGAGAAAGCGGGGGTAGAGAAGACAAGTAGCTAGAGGAGGGGGAGAGGAAGCTCCACAGAGGGCAAGTGGGAGACCCTTCAGCCTTGCATGTTGTAATTTATTGCAATATATCAAATGAATAAGTTGAGGAAGAGGGATAAAAGCAAACGAGGGTAGAGGGGTGTACATGTGAGGAGCACACAGTGAGAAAGGATTTATCTATCCTATATTTCTGCACATTTTTACTTTAAGCTGTTTTTGTTCTTTTTTCGTTTGCCTTTGAAATGATATATATAGTTATAGAGATTAAGGAAACGCAGCTTTGTAGAGGGGATCAATAAGAGGTAAAGGGGACAAAAGCACAAAGGGTTAGAAAGGAAACCGAGAGAAGCTGTGAATGTGTGATCTCTGTGCTGGATGTCCCAGTGGGTTTTTCTTCAGTGGGAGGTGATGAACCACAGGAAGTCACTACATGTGAGGAGAGAGTTTGAGGTAAATCTGCCCTATGTGAAATAAGATACCTAAAAATGTTTCCTAAATATCAATCTTGCAACAGTATTAGGGTTAACGAATGTGTGCACATGAGATTTTTAATATGTAATAATCAGTGATGTTGATATAATGACTGGGTGGGTAATAGAAGAGCTACAACAGTGGTAGTGGCACCTATAGTGACACATCCTAATATTGCTATAATATAAATGTGTTGCCTGGCCCTAATGCAGTGGTTCTCAAACTTTTTCTGCCATTTCAAATTTTTGAACAGGTGGGCCTTTTCCAGCCCCACCCCATTTTTAGCACATTTTAACATTATGATATGCTTACCTTTAACCTTTGTGTGCTGTTTGGGTCTCTGGGACCAGTTTTCACTGATTACTAAAATAAAATGTATGCAATTGAATTATTTTAACCTGCTTTATTTGGGGGTGGACCTCACATCCTCTAGGGGGGTCCGGGGGCATGCACCCCGGGGAAGATATATTTTTTTAAATGTTGAAGTGAAATGCATCAATCTGGTGCACTATGTATTTGTACGGCGACCTTGAGAGCCTTGAAAGGCGCCTATATAAAATAAATGTATTATTATTATTATTATTACTTTGAGCACAAAATGAATTTATGGATACAGCTCTCAACACTCATATGAAAGGGAGCTGTATACTTTTCAATAATCCAAACATCTTTAGAATATGATCACAACCAATAACAAATCATTTAAACTTGTGTATTCTTATCCTATGTTACCTAGATAGCATTCTTTCTTTTTATTTTATGCATATTTTACTAATCAATCCCCTTTTAAACAGTTTTTCTTTTTACTGTCCTATAGTACACATTGGAATGATTTCTTACTTTATTTTTTACAACTATATTAAATAGATAAAGGTGTGTGCTCTCTCGCTCTCTCTTTCTCTGTCTCGCTCACAGAGGATGTGTGCTCCTCCGTGGCGATGACGGCTTGCGTTAAAAAATAATAATAAACATCTTTGTAAAGTGGGGGGACACAAACGGGATTTGAAGTGGTGAGGTACCGCTCCACATTTCTTCCCGACTGCAACGCTGTTGTGTGTGTGTGTGTGTGCGTGCGTGCGAGAGCGTTTCACATGTGAGAGCAATTTACATGTGTGTATGAGAGATTTTTACATATGTCTGTAAATGATTTTGGTTTCAGTTGTGTGTGTGTGTGTGTGTGTGTGTGTGAGCAGGCTTGGATTGGCCATCGGGAGATTCTGGACTTTTCCCGGTGGGCCGCTGCCGTTTGTGGGCTGCTGCCTTCGGTGGGCCGCTGGCTCTGGCATAGGTGGGCCGTGGACTTTCACAGCGCCGCTGCGCCGGTACCGCATCTGCCGCCACAAACACCCGTTGCGAGTCTCTGGCTGTAACAGTCCACTCCCGCCCGCGAGGACCCTGGTTCGATTCCGGCCTGAGGTCCAAAAAATGTATTTAAAAATAAATAATAATCTCCCGTTCATCGCGTCCATTCGTGACCCACCTATCACATCTCTGCGCCCCACACTTTGAGAAGCGCTGCCCTAATGTGATGTGTTCGGCTCCAAAATGTGATGCTAACCATGGTCTACACAGGAAATATTGGCTGTAAGTTGTTTTAAGGTTAAAAGACCCGTGAGTGGATTTAAGGCAGGATTTTAAATAATAGATGAGGTGGGCAAGCTGAATTGAAACAAGCAGATCAAATGTTGAAAAGTGAATTTAGAGAAGTTGATTTGAAGGGAGTGTAAGATTTTGAGAGGCAGAAACGAAGTGATAAAGAGACACATGACAGGATTACTGAGTGAGAGAGAGAGATATCTCGCACATAAATCCCTTTTGAGACAGAGTGAAGTAGGTTACAAGCTTTATCGATTTTGATGATGGTAACAGTTTGAATGCGTGCCCGCGTGTCAACATGCAGGGGAAAGACGGGCTGTACCATCTGTCTACGATTCCTCTCACTGAGACACTAATTACAGGACTTTACACCTCGCTCCACCACACTCATTATTGGCCTGACTACACACACATAGACTCACTGACACACACTGAGTCGCAACAGCGGTCAGGGATTGTGGGACGTGCTTTTTCAGCGTGCTCTACTTCCCGCCATGGTTTGTCTTTTTCCCAAAATATTTTCCTCATTTTATTTCATCACTTTTGATCCTTTTGACTTATTTTTACTCATCAGTGTAACTAGAACACGGATCAATACAAAGAAGATGTATCAACCTCATTTAGTGAGAAAAAAAAAAGAGACATTATTTAAAAAAAGGGGTTAGAAAGAGATCATTTGAATCTTTTATCCTATCAAAACAGAGGAGGGGGACAGATAAAAGGGAGAGGAAGAGAAATTAAAGAGGGGAATCCTATCATATCCTTTGCCAGTGTGTACAACCATTCATTTGCATAAATTCCAGGTCACCCACTTTCTCTGGCAAAGACACGGGTGCCACTGTGGGGAGATGCTTTCTCTGACACAAAATGTAGCTTTAATGAGATATGCAGCAGTAGCAGACAAGTTGGTGCAGTGGGCATGTTTTTGAGAAAGAGAAGGGATCAGGTCTCAAACTTCCTCCTTTTCCACCAAAACATTTTATTTAGACAATGTGTGATAGAAAAATGACTTTTCTTTCAGTTGCAACATGAATGGAATCAATATTGTTCATTGTCATTATGTATTAATTATATCTATTTATTTATACATCCATCCCTCCAATCATGCATTTACTTTTGAATCTGCTGTTGTTAAAACAAAACAGAATTCAATTCATTTCCCCTTTCTTTGTTCTCCAGGCAACTATGGTGAAAGTGGGATGGAAGCATTCAAGGACATGGCAGCTAAGGAGGGCATCTGTATCGCCCACTCTGGTAAGATACTCAGGTCACAACAACAAGAGTGAACTAATCAATAATAATGTACAATATCTAGTCAAGTAAGAAATGGAATTGTATTTTAGTGGGTGTATAGTTTGTAAGTGTAGCTAGCAAACAGCAATAACCTTTGTACTTTTTTTCAAACACCAGGGTGTCCACAGTTCAGATAAATGTATCTGCAGCTTAAAGAGATCTACCAACAACAAGACATATATTTTACAACAAAAATCAGCCTGTTGTTTATTACATGGTGAAGACCCATTTCACACTGTGGGTGTCAGATGGTTGAAACTAAAGCATGATGAAATAGAGCAACTCTGACAAAGAAAACCCCCAAAGGAACTCAACACTTCTCAACACATGAAACAACACAGATCCAACATATCATATTCGTCACAGACCACATTTGTATTTGTCTGACATGTTATCCCCAGGCAAAATCTGGAGCAATGCTGGAGAGCAGAGCTTTGATCGGCTGCTGGAGCGGCTGCGGGCCCACCTGCCCAAAGCCCGGGTGGTGGCTTGTTTCTGTGAAGGCATGACTGTCCGCAACATCCTCATGGCCATGAGACGCCAGGGACTGGTGGGAGAGTTCCTGCTCATCGGCAGGTAGGTGCTGCTACACATTTGAGCTCTAATGTATTGTAATGTAAAGCAGGACCATATTACCATAAATGCATGAGGGATATGCAGTACCGGGTTTGCCCCAGGACAGTATTAGTAGTATTGTGATGTGTCACAGGATCCTTCGTTTCCTCTGTTTCCTCTGTGCCTGTGAGTTTTGCTCTTTTTCTGGGAAAGGAATATGATCAGATTGGAAAAAAACAAGTTTGGAAGATGTGTTTTGTAACTAGTGTGTTCCATGTTATATAGCCAAGCAGCTACACACGCTGAGCATGCACTGGATGTTTTAGAAGGCAGATGGAGAGGCAAAGCAGGCTCTGTGCTCTTCTCTAATGGCGCGTTTCCACTACACGGCCTCGCTCGGCCTCGCTCGGCCCCGCTCGGCCTCCTTTGGCCGCGCCCGGCCTCGTTAGGACCAGCTCACTTTATGGCGCATTTCCATTACAGTTTAGGAACTGGGGTAGTATCTATAGTAACGCAGTGTAGGCGGAGCCGTGACGTCATCTTCAATGAGAACCCCAGAAAAACAACACAGCCGTTAGCTGTTAGCACTCAGAGCTCACAGCTCCTCATATATGTTCAGAAACTAGAGAAAAGTTAAACAAGTACAAACCACAGACTGCCTGTGTCATGGCGAATACAGTCGCTGCTTTATTTATGTCTGTATAGGCCGTTGTTGTGAGTGTGGACGGTCGGAGCATATACTGCGTTAGCTTAGCCAATCTCCATTTAGAACACACGCATTTTAAAAGGTTTTTCGCCTGCCGTCTGTCTGCAGACTTGACAAAGCATTAATTCATGGTTTTTACTAACCGGTATCAGTATGTTGTTACTTCGGCATCATTTTGAAACGTGTATTACAATTAAATCACGGTCAAATATGTCCATCTTGTTGTAGTTGTAGCCCCCTTGCCAGCGATGCTCCCTCTAGTTTAGCATACTCAGCCCGACTCAGCCTCGTTGTCTCTGGCCCTAGACCCACGATTTTATGAGGCCAGAAAAACTGTGAATTAGGACCCGCCGGCCGGTACTAGGCCAAGTGGAAACGCAACCAAAGACGGGCCGCTGACGTCACAGCCCTCTTAAACGGGGCTCCGCGCTGTAGTGGAAACGCGCCATAAAATAACCCTCTTATGAGAGCCATTAATGATCATAAACACAGAGCTATTAACACAAAAATAGGAGCACAGCTAGTAAATATCTACTTCAAACTCATTTCAACCAAGTTCGATACATAACATGTGCATCCAGCTGGTGATAATTGTTCAGCACACACCCCCAGATCCAGATGATTGTGACTGGCATTCGCCTATTACACTTCCAAAAATAATTGGCATGTGTTATTTGCTGATTTTGTAACGTGTTTATATATATCTTTTTTTTTAAATTAATAACCTTTAAGCAAATAACTGATCAGCTTAATGCTTCCATTACTATAATTAGCTGAACGAGTTGGATAGATTCAGACCTCTTTCGTTTTGTAATCTTTCATTTTTTCATTCTTTGCATTTATATCTTATCTAGTGGAGAAGGTCATTTATCTGGTGGTGTTGGCCGGCTGCTACAGAAGGGTACAGGAAATCATGGTATATACAGTAGGAGCGATGACTTGACATTACCACTGAGCAACAAGTGAAACATATTCTATGGCTGTTAAACCAGATCATTTGTAACTCATGCTATGTTTTATAACTCCTTTTCAAAGACATGAATTCATTCGAAACCCCTGTGACGAGTCAATTGAAAACTGTAGGTTTTGCCATGCCTCTCAACTGCATCATGTAAAATACTTGAATAGATTGTATATCCAAACTGTACAGCATGAGACATGTATTACCCTTTTAAGAAAAACACACATGCTGTTTTAAATTTTGGAGGCGGTTTTCACATTAAGCCTTGTTCTCACTTAGATTAAATCCTCCTACAATTCTCTTGCAAATATAACCTTGCAATGGGCTGTTTGTGTGTGTGTGTGTTCTAAAAAATGGTTAATGATTTGATCACTTATTCCAGCCAATATGCATAAAACAAAGTTGACTTCAATAGTTTGAAACCATGGCCATGTATTTTGATTAAAATGCAATGTATGTGATTCTATTCTACTCTTCCTGCAGTGATCTGCTGTGTAACTAAATCATAGCCAGCATCATTTGTGTTGTCATCGCCACCATGATGCTCATTCTCATCACCCTCGTCTTTCTGATCATCTTCATCTACCTACATCATCATCATGCTGACATAGAGGTAAAGTATGAATTCATACTGAACCTGCTTTATGTTTATGGGGTTTGCCTTGCCACTAGAGATGAAAGTGATAACAGAGAAAAGATCATAAAACAGAGATGAATGTTCTGTCCTCTCAGAACCAAAGGGAAGGATCAGCTACAGTAAAGGCATACCTTTCTTTCATGGTTTTATTTGATTTATTTCTGGGAGGGATTTTCTCAGTGCGTACAGTCGTTCGACAAATGTTTGGATTTGTGGCCTCAAGCTACAAAACTTGAATAGGCCCAAACATTGCCCTCCTCTAACGGATACAGTGCGTTAGCCTTTAAACAAAAACACTTCCAACTGGTCCAGTCCATGCAGGTGCTCAATAGCTAGTAGTATAAGTATTTGTAAGCTCCCATATGTGAATTCATTCAATTGAAAAAAGTGTATTCTGAGTCGCAATCGGAGTGCTGCAGAAACCAGGGTTGTTTATTAGCAGAGGTGTTACTGTGAAGCTGCACTCACATGTAATGCGATTTTCTTTTTGGTCACTGCGAGGTCAGGCACAGAGCCTTGCGGTGAATACACGAAGTTCAGAGTTTAAATACATTTGAACATTAAGGGTAGCGTTCTTCGACAGTTTCGAGCTTCCACCTAATTGGGCGGTACCACTCTCTCCAAGAATCACAACGGCAATGTCAACGCAGATCATTTTTACCGCTTGTCATGCCAATGCACCTAAAAAGAGACTCATTCCAATAATCCAAGTACATGTTGTTTGAGAGTCCGAAGCTGGTTGCTGGTTTGTCATTGTTGCTTGCATCTGTTGAGCAAAGCACCTGCACGAAGGAGAGTGGGATCAAGGCTATAGTAGGATCCTCCTTCACTTTGCACTCATTTGGTGAAGCTCAATGCAAGGAATCACCTGCAATTAGAGAGAAGGAAATGGGGAAACAATTCTGAATAAATAAATGCTAATAATGGATACAAAAGACAGATGATAAGATCAGTTATGGTACACCACATCTACACCTCACTTCGGCACAGCAATTTGCAGTTTGTTCAAATTAAACAACAAACTAAATAATGTTATTAAATCTGAGCTGTTATACTGGAGTTTTAGCTGACACACCCTGCTTCCTTATTTAATCAATGGATTCCAACAGCTTCCTTAAATTATGCACACCAGTTTAACACCAGTTTAACACTCTCTCACCATGGTCACTTGCCAAATTAACATTTCTGGATCTAAGTGAAAAGCATTTAAATCAACCAAAGCCCTCACTCCTTTCTGTCTTTCCACTTGTGAAGAAATGGCTTGTTAAAATGGATATTTTTTTATTGCAGTATATGTTGTAGATCTCTGGCCAATCTGTCTTGATTATGTCGGTTAATAGAATATCAGCCTTCGTTAGCGTCAGTATCATAATGACTGTAGTTGTAAATTGCAGATGGTCACGGGTGGGTGCCCTTCTCACTGGAGGTCTGTGGAAGGAACTTCTGATTATCCCAGCTGGGCAGACACCCGTTTAACACCAGGATAATTACATCGGTACATTACCGAGAGCACGCAGAAGATTATTCAGTTACCTACAGTAGGGCAGATAAGTGTGGTCATTACAAATATGGACTACTACAAGATCTCCAGATTGCATTGTTACTGTGGAGAGGGGCAGTGTGCTGCACGCCGCACAATAATTTGAGATGAATGTTTGATTTTCCCTGATTCTTTATGGCTGCAACAACATTGTGATATTATGCGTCCGCATCAAAATCAATCATTTGTATTATTCGTTTTAATTAGTTAGATGAAGGCTTGATGACTCCTCAATTTGTTTGTACATTTTTTGGATCTTGATTCATCCTCCAACATCTTAGTATAACCTTATTTTGAGCAACATTTATACTGTTCCTCGTATTAAAAGATAAAACATAACCCCCTCCTGCAGCTAGTCTGAATGATTCATCTCTGACACGGCTTTAGTACCCTGCTCCTGATAAGTTTATTATACAATAAGAAGTAATATTATTGACATTTGACATAAGTTGGTTTCACTGTTTTTCACTATGTTTCTTGGTTTAAGATTTTGTACTTCCTTGTCTACAAATAATCCTAAAAACACACAGTTTATTGATTGCTTCTGTCCTATAATTCCACTTGGTGCCAGCAAGTGACAGACCCATAAATGAATAGCCTTGATTGAGATAAATATCCAGCCACATGGGACACACAAACACACACACTTACACGTACACACACTTACAGTATGGCACAAATTCACATGCTCTTTTCTCATTATTCTACTTATATCAAGTTAACAACCTCTTCATCTCTCTTAACGTGAAACATCCTCTCCTTTCTCAAATTCAAATTAGGTCTGACACAAATACATCAGTTTCAGCTGTCATTCTGATGTTTTGCATTTCCTCCTTCCATAGTTTTTGCAACCATTCATAGCAACCGCTTCGAAATACCTATCAAGTCTATAGTTTATTGTTAATCCACGAAATGACTTAAAAAAATTGCAGATTGCGTGTGTGTTCAAAAACCATACCAAACAAGGCTGCTACCTTCAGTTTGTGTTGGTTTGTGAAGTTAGTTTTTAGATGAATGGCTCATTGCGCTGACCCTTACTAGAATACATTCCCATCCAGGTAATGCAGAGCATACTGTGATAATAACTGACGTATGCAACTTCACAGCAACATCTCTGTGTTGTATAGTCAGTCATTTCAGTTGGAAATATGATTCACTCCTAAGCGCCGTCTACTGT